ATGATAGTGCCGAATGTTTATTTCGTAAAGTAGACGACGAGCGTCCGGATTCGCATGAATAAAACATGTATCTCGCCGGAGCTAAGCCTTTGAGCGGTAATTAGACCTTCGTAATTATACAAAACAGAGCTCCCTCTGAGAACAGAGAAATATACTTACGTAACGCTTACGTGAACGCCTTGCTCGTAGTGTTTCGTAATTTTCGGCGATGTGGTTTGAATTTAAACCAAAACCGCTAAAGTATTTTCTTTGAGTTTCCAAAGTCATACACGTAATTACAAATTCTTTTGAATATTTTAATATTATGTAAACATTTTTGGAACGAAGTTCCTTATGGGACGATGCGGAGGGGTACCCTAACCGGGAAAAAACGTCCGTAACGTAAGATTTTTATTATTTATGTATATGTCTTAGTATGAGATATATGTCTTAGTATGATGACTATACAGTGTCTAATGTATAGTCTACGTGATGACGGTTATTATTATTATTCATATCAATAGCTGTTTCTTTGTATATTATTATAATATAATTTTTTTGTATATTATTATTATTTGTAAAGTAGCTTTTTTTATGTTTATCAATAAAAAAATCATAGTTAAAAATGTATACCCGAATAATTGTTTTCTTTATAGCTCGAATAGAACTTAAAATTAATATTTTTATAATAAGGTCCATCCGGTGTTCCACGACACCACACATCTTTTTTTTTTTAAATGCTGACGAATAAGCCGTCCTCTACGACGTGAAACGAAATTTGAAGTCATCTAGATGAACAAACAGACATACATAGAGATGAACATCTGTAGCGGTATGATATACGTGTTATTGTACTGTTTTTGTACTCACAGAATGCCCCTCACGTCACACGCAGAACTCGTTCGTTCCTACCTGACTGAGTTTTGTCTAGTGTTTAATGTTCTAACTTCATGTTTATCCTTTTATCATACGGACCGTTGTAGCTAAACTTTGTATGTGTTTATTCGTCTGTTAATTGTTGGTAATTAATGTTTGGTTTAATTGCGTAAATAATGTTAGTCATTAGTTGAAATTTGAATGGTATTATTAGTAGTAGACTAGTAGTAGGTAGTAGTAATGGAAACAGTAAATTGGCTCAAAAGTTACATTCTTTGTCTTTCGTAGGGCATGTTTAGTTCAGCCGAATTACTATCACCACTCTGCGTGCTTATACCGCGAAGTACTTATGCCCTTCGTCAGCCCAACATAGGGGCCGAAGACCACTTCTGGGTCACAGTGAACAAACCGCGGCTAGTTTAGTTAGGTTTTCTTTTGTTTGTGTATTAGAAACAAATGAAGACACCCCAGACTCCATCAATACTGACTTCGGTCGGGATTTGTACCGAGACCCGGGTATAGGCGGCAAGGTCCCCAAAAGCCGGTCAAAGATGGCGGTAGATAATGTAAATGCCGCCCACGTGACTTCGATGTCTCCATTGTAGTACATCAACTAGATATCCTCTCTATCGAACGAGGACAGAACACCGTCAAATTGAAAATATATATTTAGCTAAAGTAATATGCCTTTTGTTTCGCAATGGATTTTTACATGAATAGTACTCTTCGCTGTTTCAAAAAAAAAAAAAACAGACACATTAACACACACCGCATTATCCCTTCAGGGTATAAAGTTACACACAACTCGTTACCTCGGACAGGTCTCGTTAAATGAAAACAAAAGCTCGCGTACAATAGAAAAGCTCCACAATGAACGAGGAGACTTCGCGCTACTGATAATTCTTTGAACTTTACGTATTGTATGAATCTCAATTAATTAATAAACTTTTAAAGATTGAAACTTCGATCGTGTTATTTAAAGCCTTGCACAAAGGTTATTCTTGTTTACGTCTTGTTCCTCGATCGGCCAAGAACTATCGGTACTATTATCGTCAGGGCAGTGAAGCTGCCTGTACGAAGCGAAGAAGCCTGTAATGTTATTCTCAACAATTTTATTTTCTTTTCGAGTCATATGACGTTGCACAATCACTACATAGTATAAAACAAAGTCGCTTTCTCTTTCCCTATATCCCTACGTATGCTTAAATCTTTAAAACTACGCAACGGATTTTGATGCGGTTTTTTTTAATAGATAGAGTGACTGAAGAGGAAGGTTTATATGTGTAATTACATCCATCAAACAGTGGAGAAATCAATAATAAATTACAGTTTCCGAAGCGAAACGAGGGCGGGTAGCTAGTCTATACTAATATTATAAAGAGGAAAGATTTGTTTGTTTGTTTGTTTCGAATAGGCTCCGAAACTACTGGACCGATTTGAAAAAATCTTTTTCCATTAGAAGCCGACATTGTCCCTGATGAACATAGGCTACTTTTTTATTTTTTTTTTTTTATTTTTTTTTTTTGGTTTCATGTGTGTTTTAATGTTTCCGAAGCGAAGCGAGGGCGGGTCGCTAGTATGACATAAATTCAATTCGTTTACGTAACTACGACGTAGCTTCTCTCGTAGCTCTCGGCTACGATGCTACGGTACTAGGAATATCCACGTAGCATGAAATTGTTGATTTAATGTATTTTGTTTATTAACTTTGTTAAGATTGGGCGAATTTTTTTTTCTATTAAACTAAATTGAAAAGGAAATTTTTAACGATATTTGTTTTACATTACTCCCTTTGAAGGTTTTCGAGTTTACTTACTACATTGTCAGTATCAGAAACGGTTTTTCTCATATAACTGACAAGGTAATCATGAAAAGTTAATAATGCTCTCGTAGCCTAAAGCTCAGTTCGATATTCACTAGCTCGGTCGCTCGTTCACAATGGTCTCTACTGTTAACAATTCATAAACGAACACCGACTGCCTCTGTTTGCCTCCCTCGAGAACTAACGCTGCGGAAAATGCATCGCCTTTGTGAAATACAAACCGGGAACTAGATGGCGACATTCCAGTGCAGATCCGATTCACTGGAAGACTTTAATGACCCTTTGTTTTATGGTGGGGTATTGTAGAATAACATTTTGAAATAAATGCCGCCACCCACCTTGAGATGTAAGTTCTAAGGTCTCAGTATAGTTACAACGGCTGCCCCACCCTACAAACCGAAACGTATTACTGATTCACGGCTGAAATAGGCAGGGTGGTGGTACCTACCCGTGCGGACGCACGCACAAGACGTCTTTCCACCAGTAATTACGCAAATTATAATTTTGCAAGTTTGATTTTTATTACACGATGTTATTCCTTCACCGTGAAAGTCAATCGTGAATATTTGTTAAGTATGTATTTTATTGGAAAAATTGGTACCTGCCGGCGAGATTCGAACACCGGTGCATCGCTAGGATACGAATGCACCGGACGTCTTATCTTTTAGGCCACGACGATTTTAAAATTCGAAATTTAAGGCTCGAAGGCTCTGTGTGATCACTGTGTGCTCATAGTCTCACAACTGTGCCATAACAGGAACCTGTGTTGTTATATGTCTACGTTCATATCACGCTCTCACACAACTTGCACCCGTCATAGTTAGAGCTGCCGCAATCAAATCTTGCTTAGATGAGTTATTTGCCTGCATGGTACTAACGGATCACAGAAGTCCATTGACTAGTTTACTGGTGGTAGGACCTCTTGTGAGTCCGCACTGGTAGGTACCACCACCCCGCTTATTTCTGCCGTGAAGCAATAATGCGTTTCGGTCTGAAGGGTGAGGCAGCCGTTGTAACTGTGCTTGAGAACTTAGAACTTACATCTCAAGGTGGGTGGCTCATTTACGTTGTGGATGTCTACGGGCTCCAGTAACCACTTAACACCAGGTGGGCTGTGAGCTCGTCCACCTATCTAAGCAATAAAAAAAAATATGACAAAATTACAATTAAGACTCAACGTGTATGTTGCTAAATATCAAGTAGCCGTGAGCGCTTCCTCCCGTACTCGTGAAAAACAAACAACTACGTTGCATTTTTTGGCAGCTTTGTAATTACTTTATGTAGATTTTATTCATTCGTTTCTCGTTGTACACGTATGTATAATGCCTTGTATACAACATCGAAGGAAGTCGCTCGTGATCAAACATTTACAGCACGGATATAGCTTGTAAAGCGACACGCGCATTCCTACTTGGGAGTAAATTGGGACTTTTTGAAATGTTCGAACTTGAATTTTGTTGTTTTCGTTTTGTTGTTTTGAATTGAAGTTTGATATTGAAACTTTTATCTAAAATGTTGTTAAAAAGTTATACAATTGCTTTACAACTATGTAGTAGACAGCGGCTTGGCTCTGTCTCTGGCATTGCTAAAGTCCGTGGGCGACGGCAACCACTCACCATCAGGTGGGTCGTATGCTCGTCTGCCTACAAGGGCAATAAAAAAATTTTAAAAATGCGCTGAAGATATCGGTTGTATTTTATTTGTAGCTAATTTAAAATGAAAACTATAATTATTTTGTTCCAATTATCCGGTAATGTATCTCGCCGTCTCGAAATACTTTTAAAAACCTTTCAAGCATATTGTTAAATTATCGATCGAGTGCCTTTTAAGTTGATAAGTCATTGAACAATGTAGTTTCTTCAATAGATTCATTACATTTCATTTGCAATTTGAATAAACTTGGGCTTAATGAGCTTTCTTTAACAGCCAAGCTACGCAGCTTTTGTGACACAAATAGGAAATTTGGTGGTTCTGATCAACGTGCATTTGCAACGTGACCTACTGCTAGTCCAGTAGTCATTTGGATTCTTCCAATTAGTCCAACTAGAAGTCATGTAAACTGTACCCTAACAGCTTGATTTCAAGTTCGAGATTCAAATTCCTATGTCTCTTATTGTCCTTTAAATCGTTCTGAATGTATCCTTCCTATATCACTTTCTGATAAGTTCGTAACGGGCTCCAGAACAAATTACCTCAGGAACCACATCGTTCCAGAGCTTCTTCTTATGGTCCACACTGTGAATTCTATGAACATACGCGGTGGTCTATCGTCTAACCGGTGCTGATCACTTGACATAAGCAAATCTATTTCTGTTTCAGGGCATATTCCGTCTCGCCTGCGAGCACGTGTTGCGCACGATGCGTCGTGGCCGCGAAACCCTGTTGACGTTGTTGGAAGCGTTCGTGTACGACCCGCTGGTCGAATGGGGCGGCAGCAGCGGAGGGAAGCGACGCCGCACGCAGAGAGACGTTAAATCGGCTTTGGACATGATGGCGGTGAGAGCACAAGAATTGCAACATAGTCTGGCCCAAGTCACGTGAGTATTGTTTAAAAGTATCTTGCTTGCCAGTTGAGACACGTCTGGGCGCCTGATACGATATCCAGTCATTCGAAGTAGACTATATCTTGGTTCGTTCGTAGGTTCGTTCGTTCGTTATTACTGGTGGTAGGACCGCTTGTGAGTCCGCACGGGTAGGTACCACCACCTCGCCTATTTCTGCCGTGAAGCAGTAATGCGTTTCGGTTTGAAGGGTGGGGCAGCCGTTGTAACTATACTTGAGACCTTAGAACTTATATCTCAAGGTGGGTGGCGCATTTACGTTGTAGATGTCTATGGGCTCCAGTAACCACTTAACACCGGGTTGGCTGTGAGATCGTCCACCAATCAAAGCAATTAAAAAAAAAAATGTGACATATCTTTCCGTAATAATTTTGTATTCATCGATGTTCATGAATGACTTTAAGGATCCATAATATAGTGTATAGTGTAAATAAAACCCGCATAACTTATTTACATATTTGCATAATTGACTTGAGAACGCGTTACGAGCTCACACGATACGTTCGGTACCATAATTCTGTTATTTTTTGGCGCGTGTAGTTCATTTTTACACGCTTTATATTAGCTTCACTTGTATGTATGTTTGTAACTGACTCCCTTAGACGCGATTTTGACCCACTTTAAACGGCCAGATTTCATTCAAACTTTGTAGATTTATCGAGGACCGATGACAATATACTAATTTGATAAGATTATTCCATTATTAAATTTGCAAAAAAAAAACTAAAAAATGAAAAATAAATAATAGTTTAAAAAAACTAAAAAACACGCTTTATATAAAATTCAACCAAAAAATAGAAAATAAATTTTAATAAATTTAAATTGAAAATAGTGTAAAAAATATATTTTATTTTAAAACAAGCGTGGGGTGCATGTTGTTATTAGTTATAAATCTTTTTCTGACAGATATGAGTAGAAGAATTATTATTTCAATAATATCTTAAAAAGCTATTATTTATTTTTCTTTTATTGAAGTGAAACTTCCTTATCGGCGTTGGAAAAAAATTTACCGTCACATTTTTCGGTTACGCGTCACATTTTTCCGTTACGCGCCATCTGTTTTGTATTCATGTCTATGATAATAAAATCCTTTTGTTTAAACTTTATCTAATTTAACTTTTTTGTATTCATGTCTATGATAATAAAATCCTTTTGTTTAAACTTTATCTAATTTAACTTTATTTAACCAATTTCTAGAAAGTTGCATGTAGATCATTTTTCGAAAAATAAGGCCATAAATAAGTTTCACTTCTTACGTGTGTACACTAGTACACGCACACATTTTTTTTTAAGTAGATGAGCGGTCGGTACAATCCACTCGATGGTGAGTGGTTACCGTTACTCATAGACGTAAAATATGCCAGGGGTAAAGTCAAGACGCACCCTGTAATATTATTTGACCTCACATTGAAGGTGTGTGGCTGCACTCCAATATCATTATATTTATGGGGTTTGGTAATCATCACTTAGTACTAGTTAGACAATGAGTTTCCAGTCATAAAAAGTATGAAAATATGCGATAATCTAATATGTAAAATTCTCGTGTCACAATGTTCGTTCCCATACTCCTCCGAAACCGCTTGACCGATTCTCATGAAATTTTTTATGCATATTCAGTAAGCCTGAGAATCGGCTACTATCTATTTTTCATACCCCTAAGTGATTAGGGTTGTCCACCCCTAACATATTTTTTTTTATTTGGAGTTTTTTTGTTTGTTATAATGAGGTATTATGTGGTTGAATGCGGTTTTGTTATTTTTATTATATATTCCCTCATCGTTCACAGCACTACATACCTCTTTCACTCATTTACCACATCCTTACACACTTACAATAAGTTAGTTTTTTTTTCTACACTAGAAATTCCCTAGAAATCTTATATATGGCAAAACAATGTTTGCCGGGTCAGCTAGTCTATATATATAAAAATGAATTGCTGCTCGTTAGTCTCGCTAAAACTCGAGAACGGCTGGGCCGATTTGGCTAATTTTGGTCTTGAATTATTTGTGGAAGTCCAGAGAAGGTTTAAAAGTAGATAAATATGAAAATTCCTTTTGTTTCTTTTAAATTTATATAATACAAAATTTTGGGTCTTTTATTTATCGATTTAGGCACTACGAAGTCTGCCGGGTCAGCTAGTTTGTTAATAAATATTCCCCGAACAATTTTCTAGATATATATGTATTTACACGCTTGGTTACAACGAACTCGTAAAGATAACGTACACGGATTTATTGGCACCGTGTTAAACTATACGACACTGAAAAGTGTGTTCGTTTAATTTTATTATCTAGTCTACGATTCGTGCAGTATATTAGTGAAAGGAAATCCCCGTTTTTTTTTTTTTTAACAATTATTTTGAGCAGTTTTCTATAGCTAAAGCATGTTAAGTTTAGGTACTCGTGGGTTGGCACTGGATCATTGGCCGAATACCCGCTATCGATACATATAATCAGCATCAATATACTGTATAGTCGTGTCTGTACATTGAAGAAAATAATATAAATTATAAGACCGAATTAAATAAATGTACATAATATAACGTAAATCGCGTATTTTTTTATCTATTTGTCTGTTTGTTTTCATGAACAAATCTCCGGGACTATAATAGGGATTACAGGTATATTAGAGATGAATTCGGACCAGAACATACGCTACGTTTCACTAAAATCGGATGACACAAAAAAGCTATCATCATTTAAGATTGTTAGAATTTACTTTCAAAGTGTTTGACGTTAGAAGTAGAAAAATATGATTATATACGAGAGTAACTCGGTTTGTCTGTTATGTTTTCACTTCCAAGTCACCAGCTTTGACGAAATTCGTTCTAAAAATAATTTGAATCCTTGGGAAGAACAGAAGCTACCTAGCGTTCCACTTCTGAGCACGTATTTCCACTCGTTAGCTATAAAGTGCAGTCTGTGCAAGCAAAACTGTGGGCATCCACATCGAAGTACTCATTAGTTTTAATAAACATTTAACAATATGCTTCACTGGTCTACCTGTTTGACAAAAAAATGAACTGGTCATCTTTTGTTGAGTGCATGCCAAACTCGTTAAGAACACTTTGAACATTGTTTGCAGAGTTCTATGTTTGAAGATCCTAAATTTAAGATTACATTGTGATATTAAAATTTGTACTTAATTATAAAAATATATATTTAAATATTGCTATCACTTTTCTAATTGCTATTGATTGGCAAAATAATCTATAGTCCAGATGCCCGAGCTTATAGACACCTTAACTGGACATATGAAGTCCAAGTCTAAGTCATTATGTTGCATTGACGGCTGTCCTACCCTTCAAACGACTCACTATTTTTCATTCGAAATAATACACCAGCCATGCTTCGCATTCGTGTAATTGTAAATAATTAATGACACATGACACTAACAAATAATTGTCAGACACGAAATCGATTCTATCGCTCCATTCATTCAATAGAATATACAATTTAATGATTATGATCATGAAAATAAATAATTGACTAAGGGAATTATGGATTTTAGTAAAACTAAGTACAAATAATTTGTATAGTTCTAAAATTGTATTGTTGCAGAGAACAATTTCTGGCCATCTTGCCTGGTATCATTGAAAGTGCTGACAAGTGGCAAAAAGAACATGAAGAACTGGTTGAAGTCGAGGCGAGACTCCAAGATTGCCACCAACAAATGGCACTAATCAAAGAAATAGAAGCATATGGACCTAATCTGAACAACCATCCATTACACGCAATCTCGCAAAAGTACTCTTCATACAAACAAGCTAAGAATGCTGTTGAAGATTCCAAAAAAGCGTTAGTCAAAATACTGAATGATTTTGACGCACAGATCGAAAGTTTCTCAGCGACTTCTGAACTTCTTAATGGTCCGCAATTGATGGCTTGGGTACAAGAATTTTCCGCTCCAAACGAAGAAGAAGACACGCCGATCTTTGAACACATAAAAGATTTTCTAACAAATGCAGGTCAAAGCTCCATGATCACTCAATGCGAACAAGCCGAAAAAGAATTTTATCAATCTTTAAAACAGACCCAGTGCATCATTAGGGCTTGTCTGGAACTTTTGTCACAATACGTAGCTGTCTCTCAATATTTCCCACAGAGTCAAACGGAATACCATCGCATAGTTATGTTCCGGAAGTTCCTTGCTGCTGCTCTAGACAGCAAATCGCCCGAGGTTTGCCGAGAGGTTGCCAGTCAAGTCAACGCCATCATCAATGCGGAGAACAACAAAGGCGATCCGCAACAAATTATTGCTTATAATTATCGCTTGGAAACCATCAGTGCTAAAGCGAACGCAAACTTGGCTAAGTGTGTTGAGAAGTTGCAACTAGAAGGTGGACCAGAAGCCATGGCTGTTGCTCAAGAAGCTTACAGAGAGGCAAAGGCGAGCATCGGCAACTGGGTCAGGTCTGAAGAAGGAGCCGCAACCGCTTTAGAATGTGCTGTTATCAGCATGCTGTGTCATTTAAATCGAAGATATCTGATGCTTGAGAGCGGTGCCCAAAGTGCTGGTGATTGTCTCGTGGACTTAACGTCGAGAGAAGGAGAGTGGTTCCTAGATGATATGAGCGCTTTGTCGACCCAAGCTGTGGAGCTTTTATCGCTGCTGCCGTTGCAGTCTGCTTCAGTAGAAGACGCTGCTTTACCAGTAGCAGTGGAGTGTGTTCGGAATGTGAATTACCTGCTAGCTGATTTGGTCCAACTAAATTACAATTTCAGCACGATCATACTTCCTGAAGCGTTAAAGAAGATACATTCTGAAGAACCGTCTGTCCTACTAATGATAAATGAACTGAATGTGGTCATAATGAATTCTACTGTGCCTTTGAACGAGTTATTGGCCCAGCTTGAAGTGCATCTTAGATACTTGGTCATGGATATGGAGGTAATAATACAATACAAACGGTTTTATCGGTTCACGAATTAATTCCACTATGTAGGAATAATGTTGTGTCATAATAATCAAAAAATTAAACATATCATTGGGTTAAATACTGATAGTAGGGGTCTTATTTTTTTTTCCATGGATGTGTGGACGAGCTCACAGCTTACCTGGTGTTAAGTGGTTACCGGAGCTCATAGACATGTACAACGTAAATGCCGCCACCCAACTTGAGATATGAGTTCTAAGGTCTCAGTATAGTTACAACGGCTGTCCCACCCTTCAAACCGAAACGCATTACGGCTTCACGGCAGAAATAGATAGGGTGGTGGTACCTACTCGTGCGGACTCACAAGAGGTCCTACCACCAGTATTACTATGAGCTCGCAAGGGTTGGTTCTACTGCCTATTTCTTCCGCGAATCAGTCCTATATTCCAGTTTAACGGATATGACAGCCGTTGTAATATAAAGACCTCGAATTCACTACGTAAAGTGAACAATTTGCACACATACCTACTAGGGTCTTTGTAGACTCCGAAATCCGTTCAATATAAAGTGAGTTAAAAATGTAAAACATTCACATGTCGCCAACGTCAGTTGCAGGTTTTTCATTGCTGCACATAGGCGTGACCCCCAGTGTCACCATAACACAGCATTAGAGGTAATTCTTAGTACATTGTTTTGCAGTCTCCAGCAAGCAGCGCTCAAGTTGTAGCGGCAGAACTGCGTGCTCGTTATGAAGCACTGCTTTCTGCCCCGACTTCTGATGTGGAGGGACAGTCTTCAGGACGAATGCTCCTTATGGGTTTCAACGGACTATTCGCTGCTGTAGAATTGAGAGGAAGAGAACTGGCCGACCACTTGGCAATACCTATACCTCCGGCTTGGAGGAAGATTGATCATATCAGCGAATCTATGCACATGTCTGTAAGTGTAGTTTGTTTATTTATATTTCTTGGCCATCAATGTTAAATAAAGGGTTTTTCATTAAGAATTCATTAACATTTCATTCTCGAACTTAAAAATAAAATAATAAAATCTGTTTAAGTGATATTGCCACATTTATTTATTTATTTTAAAGGGTATTCGATGACATTATGTATGGAATATATAAATTCAGCCAAATGGCTGCCGCGACTCTGCTGTAGGTCGTGTATCCTGGTAGACCAATTTTGTATGATATTTTCACACAAATGAGGCTCAATTTCACGAAGAGAACGAGTTATGTTGGCCTTCAGGCTGGTTTGTTTGTATAGACTAGAGCTTTCACGTAGCCCCACAGAAAGTAGTCGGGCGGTGTTAAGTCACACGATCTCAGTGGCCAGTTGATGTCGCCACCATCCGAGATGACGAAGCAAGCCTTCGAATTTCTTATCCAATAAATTTAATGTTTCCCGTGTTTAATGGCAAGTGGCACCGTGCTGTTGGAACCACATGTTTGTGAGATCCATACCATCTATCCTAGGTGACAAAAAGTATGTTATCATCGTCCGATATCGGTCGCCATTGACAGTGAGTGCGGCTCCATGCGCATCTTCGAAGAAATAAGGGCCGATGATACCGCTGGACTAGCGTGTAGCCTTCCATGCTGAAATGTCACGACTAAATATGTGATGGGCGCTATGAGCTGTGAAAGTTTGAGCTTCCCTAGTAAAAAACCCTATATATTAGGAATTAGGAATTGTTTTAAACTTTCGCTGCTATTTACCCATTAAAAGTAAAAATCGTGGAAAGAACCCGTCTAATATTATTGTTTATAGGAAATTATGATTCCAGCATGTTTATGTGATCCTCCTAGCTCCTAAATAGCTAATTTGTATTTTGATAAATAATATGTCATCCGATGCATGTACTCTATACATGTTCTGCATCTCACGACATAGACCTCAAATACATTTATTTGTCTCTGCAGGCGACTCTCCAAAGCCCCGTGATGCGGTCGGTCTTGGAGGACATATTCCTGGTGCGCCGCATCCAGACCATCGCGGAAGTGTTCGCCATGTGCACGCAGATGGCGTGCGCCTTCAAGGGCACCGGACCTTTGAGTGTTTATGATGACGCAGCGCTCTGCAAGCCCGTCAAACGGTGAGACCCAACTATTTGGAATTGATTAATTCGTGTAATTACCGGTGGAAGGGCGTTGATTTGCGCAACTCGATATACCCTGAAAAAAGAGCAGAAACAGTCGCTGTAAATAAATTATATTTTAAATACGCCTTGTATCTAAAGCGAAATATATTTGTTCGTATTGTAGTGTCTATGTGCCACGTGCCACGCAACCATGTGTCGTGGCTCCTGTGCCAACTCGCACCCACAAAGTAACCCTCGAACTTTCCAGCTTCACAGCGGAGTACGTATCGCGCTGTACGCTGGGCGTGGGCTCACGAGCTCTGGCGGCCGCGCTCTGTCTCCTGCTGCATCGGCACGGAGTCGACATTGCTGCCGAAGTGGAACAGAAGGAAATTGGTAAGTTTTCTTCGTTCTGAGCCGGGGCCTGGTATACAGGCAATTTAAAGTCGTCGTGGCCTAAAGGATAAGACATCCGGTGCATTCGTATCTAGCGATGCACCGGTGTTCGAATCCTGCAGGCGGGTACCAATTTTTCTAATGAAATATGTACTTAACAATTGTTCACGATCGGCTTCCACGGTGAAGGAATAACATCGTGTAATAATAATCAAACCCGCAAACTTACAAATTGCGTAATTACTGGTGGAGGGACCTCTTGTGAGTCCGCACGGGTAGGTACCACCACCCCTCCTAGTTCTGCCGTGAAGCAGTAATGCGTTTCGGCTAGAAGGGTGGGGCAGCCGTTGTAACTGAGACCTTACTGATACCTTGATACTGAGACCTTAAAACTTATATCTCAAGGTGGGTGGCGCATTTGCGTTGTAAATGTCTATGGGCTCCAGTAACCACTTAACACCAGGTGGCTGTGAGCTCGTCCACCCATCTAAGCAATAAAAAAAATAAAAAAAGGCAACAGAAGCAGTAAGCACGGGCATGTCACCGCAGGTGCGTCGTGGAGCGTGTCGCTGGAGTCGTTGTGCGAGAAGGCGGTGGGCGGGGAGCGCGGGGCGGCGCTCGTGCGCGACGTACAGGCCGCTCGTGCCGCGCTCTGTGCCGCCGCCGCCGTGCTGCGCGCGCACGCACGGGCGCTCACCACCTCGCACCACGCGGCCCGCGCGCACCTCGCGCACCTGCATCTGCACCACGAGGTGATCATAGCATTCATCTTATATACTTTATATACTTTAACGTAACAGAAAATAAATTTAATCTGCCAATTCGTAATATAATTTTAACAATTCAGCACTTTTTAACCGGTATTGTAAAGCGTACAAAAGTTGCTAAAGCAGTTTAATTCGAAACGTGCTAAGTATGCTGTTCTATGCCCACAAGTTTATTGCCTGTACTCGTTCACACCACCTTTCTATTCATGGCGGCTGCAATATTTTACATTACTAAGAAATATCAAATTACCAAAACTATATAACTAAAACAACTTTTACGGATTAATCGCGTTTTTTATGAATCATATTCAGTTGGCACAATGACAGTCTAATATAACACTGCTCACGAACATTAGAGAACAATACCACAATGATATTTGGATCAGTCAATGAAGATTACTTTCCGGTGATGTCGATTCCATCGTCGGTGACTACTGTCATAAGATTGTAATGATGAGACGACGCTCGCGCAGACCGTCGGCGGGCACCGCGACCTGTGCGCGCTGCTGGCGCGGCGCTCGCGGGAGTTGTCCGCGGGCCTCGAGCGGCTCACCGCCGCCGCCGCCAAGATGAAGTCTCTGCTAAACTCGGCTCACCAGAGGTACGCTACATCACCCATACTCCTACTATATGTTAAATTATTGATTAGTAATAAACGAAAACAAATAAAAATGTAGTATCAAAACAATTGCCAAATATAACAATATGTTCATCGCCTGAAAAAAGTGTAAAGTTTTAATAAATAACCGGATTAGAGTAAAATGGGGCGCCGGCGCCAACCCGTCGCTGTCGAGCATCGTGTCGCGGCTGGAGCAGGCCGGCGCCGCCGCAGACACGCGGGCTGCGCGAGCCCTATCCGCCGCCGCCGCGCTCACCGCGCCCGCCCGCTGCGCCGCTCGCGCCCGCCTGCGACCGCCGCGACACGCGCGCACCCTCGCCGCCGCCCTGCACCACTGGGAGAAGGTACACCCCCCGCCTGTACCAGACAATAAACAAGACTGAGTAAAATATAATAATAATATTCAAGTCAATTGCATACGTGGTTATTTCAAATCCGGCTCGAAGGATCAAAAATTAGAGCACTTTCACTAAGCGTCGATAAATTAACAATGTGTTTAACTCTAGTAACTGAATTATTTGGTAGACGTATCGAATGAACGACCACTAAGCATGACGTCAACACGATAACTCACCGTTTTAACCGTGTCCGTTTGCCCTCACCAGGCGTGCACCCTAGCGCAGAAGTACGCCCTGGATGTGTCGCCGGTGGAAGAAGCCCTCATGGAGATGTTGCACCCTGAAGGGAATATAGATACACAATGGGTACGGTAGTTAATTCGTTTTGTACATTATTTGAGTGCATTTGTCAAAAAATTGTTCTCATAAACTAACGATCTAAATACTTTAAAAATACAATCCTCAGGTCGAGAACGTCTCGGCGCTGCTCCGCGAGATGATAGCGCAGCTGGTGGCAGATGTTGCCGCCCGCCAGGTGAGGAGGGAGAAGTGTTCTAAAAGTATTTCAACTAGGTCCGGAACTTGCGAAAACTTAAGCAGTACTGTGCACCGGGCTCACTACATTATGCCACGGCCGTTTCGTAAATACAGTTACAGATCGATTTGCCATTAATTGCTTGTACGGGCTTAGTAAGTTTTTGTTTCATTATTCCACTAAATAGCGTTTTAGGAAATTAATTTAACTTAAAAATCGTGAACTAAGATTTGTCACGAACTCATCATCATCAATTTTTCATTCCTTTCATTTTCATCTCTCAATTTTTGATACTTAAAACTAAGATATTTACAGCAATAAAAAAAATTATGCGAGTATTTTTATATCCTTTAAATTTTGAGGTTTGTCTACATACGGAATAGGTTATCGTATATGTTATATTATGTTCTACAATAGATTTTATTGGCTATGCATTGTTGTCTTAAAGTTACCGTCAGGCTTTGTAGCTATAGTGTTACGTGTCTCCGAAGTCGAAATAATAATTAGTTATTAACAATTCGCAAATAGAAAACAATATCCATTGGTTAAGTTAAGAATGAATATTGATTAATAATTACAACATGCGCGTCGCAGGAGCGCGCGGCGAGCGCGGGTGCCAGCGTGCGGGAGAGCGTGCGGGGTGCGGGCGCGGCGGGCGCGGCCTGGCGTGACGTCACGGCCGCCGCGGCGCCGCATCTGCTGGTGCTGCAGCCGGCGCTGCAGGTGCGCTATTTCTTCTAATGTTATTCCAAAATAAATTATTTCATTTTTAATTTCTTAAATATTTAACTATAATTTTAATGTTAACATTCTTGTGGATGACAGGTCGTTTCCGCTGGTTTGTAATATAAGTGGTTACTTTCGCTCTCTGACACGATGTCAGAATCAAAACCGATCGCTGCAAGCCACCAAGAAATATTTCCATTTCTTTTTTCTTTCATTTTTCTTTTTAATTTGTTATATTCTAATATATTATACTTTGACAAGCCAAAGAAGCTACAGGCATGGTTTAGATAGTGACGTCACCCCGTCCCCAGGGCAACAACCCCGCGCAGGAGTACCTGAGTATGGAGCGCGAGCTGTCGCGCGAGCTGGCGGCGCTGACGGCGGGTGCGGCGGGGAGCGGCGCGGCGGGGGGTGCGGCGGGGGGCGCGGCGGCGGGCGACGTGTCCCGCGGCGCGCGGCGCGTGCGCGAGCTGCTGCCGGCGCTGGCGCACACGCTACTGCAGTAGGCGCCGCTCGTTAGCTCGGTGACGTAGCCTCGCGGCCCGAGCCGGTCCACACTAAGCTCGTATCGTTATCCGCAGTGTCCACGAGAACTGGCCGACGGAGCAGGGCGGCCGCAAGCTGACGAGACAGGCCGCCGTCACCTCCAACAACAAACACGGTCAGTTCATAAACTATACACACCCCCTGTCTTACTCTATAATATTACGATCGGTTATTTAAAGCAGAACTAGTGATTGCTCTCCCGTGATACTTTTATTAGAACTTAAAGTTACAAACTCGGATATAGTTACGTCAGGCGAGCGCATCAGTGGGAAGTTTTCAATAATTGTTCGAAAAGTTCGGTCTTAGTCACTCCGTGTCGCCATATCAAACGACATCTTTTGTCGTTACAACAAAAGCGAAATCTATAACATTCGCCGTAATAAAGTTGATAATTAGTAGAATTTTTTGAGCCTTATGTAGTAAGTACCTGGTAAGACTGTTGCATTTTTGTCGTATTCATAATTTGAAATGAATTAATTGAACGAATTCACTATTGTCTATATCGTTCTGTCGCGTTGAATTCAATGAACGACCTAACGGTACTTTTGTTGTGTAAGCTCAGGGTTGTCATTGAACAATTAAAACACTTTTATTGCCTTAGCAGGCAGACGAGCATACGGCCCACCTGATGTTGAATGGTTACCGTCGCCCACGGACTTCAGCAATGCCACGGGCATAGCCGAGCCGCTGCCTACCGTTAATAAATTAGTTTTTGAATGTAACTCCGTGTTGCAACCCTGCGTGTGCCCGCAGCGTGCGAGAGCGCGGTGGGCGCCAGCGTGTGGCGCCGGGTGCGGCTCAAGCTGGAGGGGAGGCCGCAGCCGCACGAGCTGGTGAGGACACACGCCAACGGACGTTCTACTCTACTCTTTATTATCACTGATTTTGGCAATCTTAATCTAAATATCTTTTTACATTATGTAGATTCCCATTAATTCAATACAAACCTAAAAACTAATATTCTCTCAAGGTTCCATCAAATATCATAAAGACCATTCAAGTGAGCGTGGCAGCCGGTCAAGATGTGTTTAACTCATCATCATTATCCTGCCCTTCTCTCAGTCACCTGGGGTCGGCGCAACATGTTTTCTCCTTCCATACTCTTCTATCATATGCCATTTCTTCGCTCACTCCCCTCTTATCCATATCGTCTTTCACGCAATCTATCCATTTCTTCTTAGGTCTACTTCTTCCTCTATATCCTTCCACATTCATAGTTAACATTTTCTTACTAACCTCATTTTCATTTCGTCTCATCACATGTCCATACCATCCCAAACGCGCACTTCTCAGCTTCTCTGTCACAGGTGCCACTTTCAGACTTCCTCTAACATATTCATTCCGCATTCTATCCATTCTCGTTACTCCACACATCCATCGCAACATTCGCATCTCTGCTGCATGCAATCGCCTTTCATCCTTTCATCAAGATGTGTTTAACTAAGACTATATATTTGAACCGCAGGTGGACCACCTGATATCTGAGGCCACCAGCGCGGAAAACCTGTGCCTGATGTACGAAGGCTGGATGGCCTGGGTGTGATCCGCAGACGACTGGCTCTCGCACTGAGCACACTCCTGGTCCCGCTCCTGGGCGCGCCCCCCCGCCCGCAGTGGGGGGCGCAGGGGGGCGCCTGGCGACCTAGCCTTCAATCATTACTTGTACTCGGACGGCTCCGGACGGCCGCGAGCCGACTCGCGACTAATGGAAATAAACAAAACGTTCGACGTCGGGTCGATGATACGGCCGATGTCGTCACTCGGAGAATGACAAGCGCCGGACGCGCTGCGGACCCCGGGCCCTCGTGCCGCACGGGACTCGGGCCCGGCACGGTCTTGGGATATCGACTTCACATATGCGAACTTTCTTCAGTAATATTAAATATACACGCAAACGTAACCTGGCGCATGACGTCATATGTGGGTGCACAAAGCGTCGAAATACTTACGTCGACGTCACTCGCCGACCCCGCCAGCCGCCGCCGAGTTTCTTGCTGGTTCTTCTCGGCGAGCCTCGTTCCGAACCAGCGGTAGTGTCCTCGCGTCTGCGGCCTGTTCGATCGTCGAGCTCAATTAAACAAAAAGCTTAAAGTTCGTAAAGTAGGAGCAGGCCGCATCGTCTACCATTACTCGTGTAGGTATCATTAGTGTAGTCCAGCTCAGTCCCGGTCCCCCGAGCGCGTCGCTACAGTAGTTGTTCAATACAATCCGTATCCATCGGGGAACGGGTCTAAGTGTAGTATATGTTATAATACGTTATCACAATATGTATGGCTTGCTGTCCTCCCTCCAGCGGGGGCGCGTAATGTTTGTGATGACGAATGCATTTCTAACGTCCAGCCCCTAATACTGTGCCCGTAATGTTCCTTTGTTAACATTTCTGATTCCTAGTGAGCTACGTTACGACCACATCCCACAAACTTTACCACTTCACACATAAAGTACAATGCTGATCTTAAAATGTAACGGAAAACAAATTCTGTGATAAAATGTTTAATGTTAATTTTCCGAAAATCGAATTAACACGAAACCTGTAATTTCGATCCAATAGTCACGTATTCTTAATGCTGTTTTTTTTTAATAAAGTTATTTTTATTTGGTTAATTTATTACTCTCGCAATAAAATCTAGCTGTGTACAATATGTCCGCTAACAACGTGCGCTGTGGAGTGTTCTCTCTCATACATGCTGTACAACCTCCATTTCTTATTGTATTTGTGATTGATATGGGAACTGATAAGATTATTGGTAACTATGTGATATCTACAATCAGAATGTAATTTCAGTAACCCTTCTACTAAAACATCACAAATTTGTTTATTTTCGGAAACAATCTTTAATGCTACTATAACTGTCAATGTTTTAATATTTCCAAATGATTCAAGATTTATATTTTTTAAACAAATTATTTTTATGAAAAGTTAGTCTAAATGCATTCGTCTGCTATGTGAATGAATGTGTCGCTTAATTATATAATATTATTAAACGGTGTACGCTATGTATTTATGGTTGTTTTATTTAAACAAATATGGGGATTTCCTTCCTTCCTTAACCCTTTGCAGTTCTAAGACTAATGTAGGACTAAAGTATGTATAATTATGTCCAATACATGTACGTGTAAAGTATCCAATACATGTAAAGTACATGTTGTGGACACTGGACCTCAAATATTTCTTTATCTCATCTGTTGAGGCTCCAAGTGCGAGTACGTGTGCCTCAACAAAAAAAAAACGTAATTCAAAAATGGCGGTAAAAAACTAAAACATGGTACCGCTGCTAATAACGAAAATTTGTGATTATTGTTGATAAAGCTGCGTAGATAAGTAAATATTGAATGTGAAAAATCAAAAATGCATCAATGAGCTTCGGAGTGAGTCAAAACAACAAGTACCTAAGGAATTAGGTTACCCAAACTTGGTATCGGAAAAGGTTTTTTTTTTAAATCGGGACAGTATTTTCAATGAGTACCAAAGATAATAAAGTAAATTGTGAATCTCCGGTTTAATTCTGCTGAGCAATATGAATGTGGTCCAACTGTGCCACTAAAGATCTAAGCACGTCTGACTATTCAGGATCATGAACAATATACAAGAACACAGACTGCCTTGTGGGTAAAATGAATATATATTACCAAGTTATTTGTAATGAAAATTAATGAAGAATCGTTGTAGTTTGGATCATTGTTCTGAATGTTAAGTACTTGTCAATTGCTTATGTATTGAAACAGCTCAAAGGAACTAAGTATAGATATGGTGAGAAAAGATTTTTCTTCGTAATTTTTCGAAAAAGTTCGTATTTATCGTACTCTCTCAAATAGCTTCAGTACCCATCCTAGAGCTGTAGGGTTAAGTCAAATTGAATAAAAACCACAATAATCTTTTAAAATGTTTATTTACAAAGCCGCCCGATAAAATATCAAGTATTTTAACAGATTCATAAATAATAAGTAATCCTGTAAAATTTACACAATTCAATAATAATGATGCCGAATTAAGATTACATCTAAAAGGCATAACACTTGAATTCAATTTTTATGTACATGATAAATTTACAATCGAATGGCAAAGCTACAGAACGGCACCGATCGAGGATCATTTAGAGATTTAAGTCAATATAATGTAACTTATTCTACGACACGCGCCGTCACTGGGGCACTAACTGAATTAGAAATGAGAAAGTGAATCGTCTGACAATATTACGAATGTGCCTTTGAAACCGTTCAAGGAAAATGTTTTATTGTGTAATTACGAAAACAGTAAAAAGAATATATAGGAAAAAGGTTTCTTTTTTTTTCGTTTTACTTTTATGTCAGATTAAAAGAAGTTAAGAAGTAGTCAGCAAATCACGGGCCGCGGACCGTGCGCGCTATCGCTTGGCGAGCGCCTGCTTCAGCGCCACCAGCTCGTCCAGCTGCTGCTTGTACAGCGCCGTGACGTCCTGCAGGTCCAGCCTCAGCTCCGCCAGCTCCTCTTCCTTCTCGCCGTACATCTGCAGCAGGGCGTCGTACTGCTCCTGCAGGCTCTGCCGACAACACATACTGTAGGCGCGTCCGTGAGGGGGCGAAGCACGTATAGTACTCGTCAAACTTTATGGCCCCTCCGAACCTAGCCGCATTGCGCTGCGTAGAACACAAAATCAGGTATCTACGGGACGTAAGCGGGGCGTGGAGGCAGGGCACCCCCGCGCGTGTTTTCTTCCACCCGCTAATGTCCTCACCTTCCGCGCGTTAGTGTGAGTGCTACGTTCGTACACCAATGACATACTCGCTGAGGTCTGACGGTATCGTCGCGTTCAGAATAGTTTCATATTGTTACTTCTTTGTTATTTGTTTCTCGTTTCTATCGTTATTACTGGTGGTAGGACCTCTTGTGAGTCCGCGCGGGTAGGTACCACCGCTCTGCCTATTTCTGCCGTGAAGCAGTAATGCATTTCGGTTTGAAGGATGGGGCAGCCGTTGTAACTATACTGAGATCTTAGAACTTATATCTCAAGGTGGGTGGCGCATTTACGTTGTAGATGTCCATGGGCTCTAGTAACCACTTAACACCAGGTGGGCTGTGAGCTCGTCTACCCATCTAAGCAATAATTTTATTTTTTATTGCAACAAAAAATTCTTGATTATGAAATGTCCACCCGACTGTACCGGCTACATTTAGAGCGGCCATAAAGATTGGCGAGTAGTATACCTGCAGGTCGTCGAGCGCGTGCTGCAGTACGGCCACGCGCTGCTGCAGGGCGGCGCGCTGGGCCAGCAGGCCGCGCTGCTGCTCGCGCCGGGACTGCAGCTCCGCGTCGCGCCGGGACAGCTCCGACAGCACCTGCTGCAGACACAGCGCGGCGCCGCCCGGCGGCGTGGAGCGGCCCTCCTCCTGCGGACACACGCCACCGCTCGACATACAAATTGTTAAATCTTTAAGAAGTTGTAAGCTGACTGTTGGTTCTCCTTGTAATAAATAGATAGGCAGCGGCTTGGCTCTGCCCCTGGCATTGCTGACGTCCATGAGCGACGGTGACCACTTACCCGTCAGGTGGGCCGCATGCAGGTCTGCCTAAAACGGTAATAAAAAATAAAAAAAATGAATAAATTTGTATCACGAAACCCTTGTCTGGTCTCGGCAACAGTTCAATGTATATATTTCCTCGTGGGAATGAGCACGCGGACACTCACGGCTTGCCACAGCGAGCTGGATAAGGAGTCCGAGGCGGAGGCGGGGGAGACGTCGCCGCGGCTCGGCGGCTCCGGCTCCGGCTGCTGCTGCCCCTGGACACGTCAGGATGCAATACATTAATGCTGTTATAAATTGAGCACTGCTTTTTTTTACTGATAAACTAAATTACAGCTCATTCGACGTTAGCTGTTACCGGTGCCCAGAGTCATCTATTCAATATCGTTGTCTTTAGTAATGAGGTGGAAATCTAGTTGTGTCTAAATAACGACTTCACTCTACAGTCCGGAGCGCGTGCTGGCGACGAGCTCTACACATGTACGACGAAATTTCTCTAACGCAATTTTTGAACAAGAATAAGAAAAGAACAAAGCCTCGTCCGTACCTGCAGTGCCTCGTACTGCGCCTGCTGGTGTTGGAGCGCCTCGCGGGCCTGCTGCAGCGCGCTCTCGACGGAGGCGAGGTGACTCTTCAGTTCAGATACCTGCGCCTCGTGTTCCGTTTTCAGGGTCTCCACTTCGCCGCTCTTACTGAAACAGGGCGGCTTGTTGGTCACAGGTCGCCGCTGCGGGGACGACTGAGGGAGGACGGGTCAGCCACGTCACCGTCGCGCGCCACCGCCGCCTCACCTCGCTCACCTGTCCAGTAATCCCTGCAGATACGCGCACCTGCTGTCGAGGTCTCGCAGCCTGCTGTCCCGAACTGCGCACTCGTCGCGAGAGAGTCGCTCGCGTTCCTCGGCCTTCGCCACCCGGCGCTCTAATTCCGCTGTATACAATATATTTACATCAAATTTACTCATATGTTCAGCTTACCCTTTTTATAAATATAAATATAAATACAAATATACGTAATACCGATTTGTTTGTCCTTGGCTCGGATGGCATTAAGGTGCGTGTTGTCCCTCTCCAGTGCTGCCCTCTGCAGCTGCGCGAGTTGCTCCAGCACGGCCCCCGCGGCGCCCTGCCCCCCCACCGGCCCCTGTCCCCCCGCCTCCAGCGCGGCCTCACGCGCCTCCCGCACTTCTACACGGAGGGACTCTTCTCGTGACACCCAGCGCTTCTCCTCTGAAATGACAAAAATATTTTATCTTATGTACCCAAAGCAAAGCTAAAATATGCTCAATCGCACATGTCTGGAAGAGTTCATTTTGTGCTGGACAACATTAACTATTGTATTTCCTGCACTGTAATTCGGACTGTTGAATTTGCAGTATTATAGAGTTAAAATAAATTTAGTAGTAAGGTTCTTTAATTTTTTAAATATTTAATTTTTTTAAGATTTTTAAATTTATTAATGTAGTGCGCCCAGGCCCGCTGCGGAGACTTCCTGTATGTTCCCCACGGAACCAGTCGCCGTGTGGTCGTTAATATATACCTTCCCGACGCGGACCATTCATCGATTCTCATTGAACCAAGATATGACTTCCCACGGAAATAAAATCGTGAACATTCGGGGACGTGTTCTTAGCTCGAATTCAAACTTAAAATGTTAATTATTACTTTCACCAAAGAAGGCATAGCGTTATAAGCACAGCAGTATCCAGTCTCCTATCGCAACCGTTCTGAGCACCGCTGTATTCGCCTACCATTGACCATTTCAATCCTCAGCCTCTGCACCTCATCCCTGAGCCGCTCGCACTCCCCCTGCAGCATGTTCCTCTCATCTTCCAGCTTGGTCTGCAAGGTGCGCCTCCGCTGCAACTCTGCGCTGTTCCGCTGCAAGTCGTTGAGCTCCCTCCTGGCCGCGTCCAGCGACGTCCTGGTGCTTTCGAGCCGCTGGGTCGTGTCGTCCAGAGCGCTCTTCGTCTGCGAAGCAAACATCGGTCACACCGTAATCCCCGCCACAAAGGGAGATTCACGACTGTATGAGTATGTGCAGAAATGTTGGCTTATACCTCAATTATATTGGAATAAAGGCAATCTTAGTCTTCATATGGGACGCATAATTGTTCATGGCACGCTCTGCCTAGAGTAAAACTATACTCAAATTGATAATAGCCTAAGAGACAAGTCCCAATTCTCGCTATCGACTATCTGACAAAATTCAGTTATTTAATTAGCACAGATACTTCTGTCTTCACGATTCGGAGTAGATCTCTAGACGGTACAACAACAACAATAATTTACGGTGAAGTAAATTATAATTGAAATGCGCAGTAATAGCCATTTAAACAGTTTCACAACAGTATGTTTGTTTTAAATTAACATTGATAACAATCTCTATGTTGATAACGAAAGTACAATCTCTGCTTTACAACGTATTTTTTCAGGAGCTATAGAAAGTAATTACAATGTCAAGCCATTTCGAGCTATTACTTACAGCGTCTACTTTAACCTTTCCCAAAACGGAGACATAATTAATAATGACGAACCGAAATTTGAACTTTTTGGGAGACAATGGAACATTATTAAATAAACCAAAGTATGGGGTCAAAGCCCTTCAGAGATTTGGGAGCTACATTTTGGGCTAATATATACTTACTAAAATCAGGAGTATTCATAATTAAAGAAAGAGGGCGAAATCTTTATAACAAATCTTTGAAAGTTCTTAATAACGTTATTATGATTTATTTAAGATTGATATCTCCTTACCTCATCTAATTCGATCTCAAGTTTCTTATTGTTCGTTGTGAGCCTATAAACAGCTTCTATTTGGCTCACTTCAAGTTCCTCTTTGGCAGCCATTGCTCGTTTTATCCTATCAATTTCTGCTGTTTGCTCTGCGATTTTATCTCTAAAAAAGTGGAATTGTACAAAATCATTACTGTATCATCTTTAAAACTTCTACAACTGGAAATTGACTTAGCTAGGTTCAAATTGTGACCAAAAAAAATGGCAGGCTTTTAACAATTGCTGTGCTTCTAACTTCATGAAAACATTAAATTTATCATGATCAAAAAATGGTGTTTACTAATGTTGTTATTTTGAACTGCAGGAAATATAAGACTGTTAAAAATCAGCCAATGCAGAGTTAATTCATATAAATGTGTGGATCCCAACTATATAAAGTTTTCTTTGCTGCTTTGATGGTAGAATTTACTAAAAGAAAATGATGTGTTTATTTAAGAAATACATAAACACCACTTAAAAACTAAAAATAATGGTAAGTTGCAATTAAATTAAAACAACCATTAGTACACTATTTAAGAAAACCTATTTTAAATTATAGAATTTTAACAATCCTTTTGTCATGCTATAGACCAATCATATTGCAGTATCTATGTTTTTTTTAATTGCTTAGTTTGGCAGCTGAGTGGGTTTGATTTGTATTATATGATGTTATTCCTGCACTGTGGAAGTTATACGTGAACATTTGTTAGGTACATATTTCATTAGAAATATTGGTACCTGCCTGCGCTATTTAAACTCCAGCAGAGTCGATACAAATGCACCAGGAGTCTTGTCCTTTAGGCCACGATGATTGATGTATATTAGCGTAGAGCTAACTGCTAAATTGTATTGTTGGTTAACTTTTTATATATAATACCTACTCATAGTACGAAATTATTGAAATTTCAAATGAAATGATAAGATAAATGATTTAATTAACTAGCTCATAATCTATTGAATAAATAATATGCAATCACTATTAGTTTAAAGATAAACCATTGATTACATAGCAAGTTGGGACCTATCTATGCCAATGGGATTTTTAAGAAGCTTTTCAACTTTAAGAACTCACCGAAGAGCCTTAATAACTTGTTCATTGTCTTTTTCTTTAACCCTCAGCTTTTTAATGATATTGGAATGCTGTAATTGTTGTTTGGATAGCTTTTCGCCTTCCTCCTGCAGCTGGGCTATCACATCATCTTTCTCTTTTATTATGTTTTCAAATTCTGATGAGTTCTTCCTAGATATACATTCAGACTTGAGGTTGTCTAATTGCTTTCTTAATTGGTCCTGAGAGAAAAGTGACTACTTGTAGATTAGTTGTACAAAGGCTATGATTGAAATTTTCATAATATTCAGAACATGTAAGTTTTTGACATTTCAGACCTGGGTTTGTAATGAAAATTTAATGGTAACCAGAATATGCCAAGCACAGGTCTATTCCAACCAATTTTTTTCTTATATCCATGGGAAAATCTATCACAGACATATAGCTATTTTTTGATTATGTTTCTCAATAAAACAATTATATATATAGAGTACCTTCTCTCTAATGGCCTGTTGGAATTTCTTCTCTAAAGCAGACATCCGTTGTGTATATTCTTCTGTTATACTATTAATATCTCCACCCTCATGCTTAGCTATTAAAGACTCAACTTGTGTCTTTAAATCTGCATTAGACTCTGCCAGTTCTGCATTATTTCTGCTCACTTCCATCAGTCTGTTTTCTCTGGCTTCCAATATCTCAGTCATTTCACACAGCCTCCTCATCAACCTTTCATTTTCAGAATTTTGACTGTCATCACTATTGTTACTTTGCACAGATGCCTCAGACAGTTCTCTGTTGTGGCCCCTTATTTTTGTGGCTAAAGACTTGCCTAGCACCAAGTCAACCAAATTAGGAGAAATACTTCCATCAAATTTGAATGGTTTGAGTCCATACTTAGCAGGGCTATTTCTAAAGCTATTTCCATCACCATTTGGACTTGGTATAATTTCTATGTCTGAAGAAGTAGTCGTTTCTAAATCATCTCCTGAAGTGTGACCTGAAGTTCTGTCTGAACCAACTTTTACTAGATCACTTTTGCTGTCAGAACTGACTGGAGATGTTCTTTCTTTCATGGAGACATCTTTCTGTGAACTACTGCTCTGGGATGCACTACAGTTTTGTTGCTCAATATTAATGAAACTACCAGATCTTGTCATGTCACTGGTGACATTGACATTGTAGAATGAGGAGGAATCACTAAGTTTCTCAATCAAAACATCATCATGATCATCTTTCTTTGACTCTTCAATATTTTCTAGGTTGATACTGTCATTGTCTGCATTTAAGGTTCTGTCAGAACATGAGCCATCATTAGAAGAGTTTTCACAAACCTGAATCTTCTGCAGAGTTACATGATCAACATTTAGAAATTCTTTTTCTACTAGCTTCCTTGTGTCTTTCTTTTGAAACGGACTGATTGGTTTATCATCCGTGTCAAGTACAGTGGGCGCTGTGCATTCAGAGATGGAATTATAGGATATTGTGTCTTCATCGTCATCAGCAACTAGACTTACACTATCTGCTGTCTCTGGCTTTTCTGTTACATCTCCTAGCGCTGACTTTTTGTCATTGACATCAGGTGATGGATTTGATGATAAACTGCTATTTTTATCACTTGAATAACTATCAAATCCAAGACATTCTATGGAACTTGGGCTCATCAAACTATCTGGTAGAATCTCCACTGATTCAGAATTCTGTTTTTGACCTGTACTACTACTTGACATGGACTGTCCAGATGCTTCTGAATCTGGTGTAGTTTTTAGGCTATGTGATAGTACTTCGACAGAATCAGAACTTTCATTTCGACTAGACATAAATGACAATGCATTAGATCGTGAAGAGCCCCTTCTGTCTTCAACTTTAGGCTCCTCAGGCTTAGGTTTAGTCTCCACACCATCAGTGTCAGACATAACAAGTTGACTTTTTGAAAACAAGTCATCCTGACTTCCAAATTTGGTATCAGGTATAATGTTCAAAGATTTAGCTTTGGGAGGTTTAATTATGGTGACTGCACTATCACCTTTAGTCTGAGTTTCGAAAAAAGAACCGGCGAAAGAACCCCACAAACTCTGCGAGTTCAATTTCGAAGGACTTTCAGTAACGACGGGCTGGATATTTATTGTTTCTTCGTTACTAGCGCTCATCCCTAGTCCCCAAGACGTGAAAAAATCACCTTCATTTTGCAGACTTTGTGTCTTACCTGATGATCGTTCGCTCTCGTTGTTAGTTGGTGATGGCTGATCTTCCTCATTTTCACTATCATCCTGTATGTCCAAAGCCTTATCAATAGTCTTCTGAGCACCTTTGAGCGCAGTCTTAGCGAGGCTCGTAATACCTGACGTATCAAACCAGTTCATGTTCAGGCGTCATCAGACACAACATTAAGATTTTAGGAATAATCAGAACGACATTTTATTTTGAATGAGGTCATTCGAAGAAATTTGTTGTTAGAAAACTTCGTCAACATTGATCAACAATTCAACATAGTCCAATGACATATATTAAGTGTATAATCTATGCCAATGACGTTTCCATTTTGTTATTATTTATGTATTGACCTGGATTCTAGCCTTTTAAGCCAAATGTTATTTTTTATAAAGTCTTGGATTCTTTATCGAAAAAGTAAAATAGAACGAATTAAATGAAGTAAATTCTAAAATTAATTGTGGAAATAAGCTCTCAATATTAAATAAAAAGAGCACGAACTTTCTGTGAATTCAATGAACTGTTTGAAAATATCCGAAAAACCAAAGAGTATATAATTCGAGAAACCACCTGAACGGGCCCATCCGGTCACCGTGCTCGTCGAACCCGTCGCTTGCGACGAAGGGCTCGACGAGTAAATTAACTCTCAGACACAGCCCACTGAGTTTCTCGCCGGATCTTCTCAGTGGGTCGCGTTTCCGATCCGGTGGTAGATTCTGCGAAGCATGACTCTTGCTAGGGTTCGTGTTAGCATCGTCGTCAGGTTTGAGCCCCGTGAGCTCACCTACTAGTTAAGGTTCCGCTGGAATAGCCTCTCTAGGCTACCAGCCTAGGTAGGAAAAGAAAAAAAAAAGAACGGGCCCTTTCTTTAGGTTGTTTGGTGGCTTACATTTAGGAAAGAGGTCCGGAACGAGCGGAAAAGTATTTTTATACTTTTTCTTTCCATAAAGCTTTTCAAAATCTATTTCCAAGATATTATTGTCTGTAATTGCAATCTTTGAGTTGATGAAATAATCGGTTTGAATGATTGAATAAATTATAATTATAATAGACTATAATCTAATAGTACGGTACATAACTTTTATTGAAAATAAATTTTAAACTATTTGTCGTCGATTTTTGTCTGTATCTATGAGAGTACCTCCCATTATATTTGAAAGATCAATTAATGAAGATATCTCTGATTTTTTACTAAGTTTTTCTCATTAAATGACTAAATTATGATAATGATAATGACATAAAACTTTTTTAATTTATACAAACAAAACAACGGCGAACTGAATTCTGTAAAACTTTATTTAGCTTTTAACCTAATGGTTCATCATGGTACCAATTTGAGTATTCCATACTTAAATTAGCATGTCCATTTAATACAAATAAAATTGAGCATGCTTTAAGAATGGATCGGCTGATATTGCTGATACAGCGGAGTGTGATTTTGTTAGTAATTGATTAAAATTAACTGTTATTGTTGTTATTAGGCACATTAACACGTTTGCAATACTAAAAAATATTTTATTTTATTTCAATGTTACGAATATGTTTATGCATCTCTAATAGACGCCCTCAATTTATAAAATTAAATCAGTACCTAAGTGGCTCACTACTTGGCGATTAAATATTACACTTTTAAATCACATTAAATAAAGATTTAGCAAATAGCAATATTTGTTTATATTAATTTCGAGGATTCTTTCAGTTTAAATATGTTAATTATGTATTTAGTTTTTGTTCGTACGTAAAAAAAAGTATTGAATTTGTTTGACATAGTCTATTACTAAGTAATATATATTTTCGACCACGTTCCCATCGCTCCAGTGGCGCAATTGGTTAGCGCACGGTACTTATAAGACAGTGTACGTGTGAGTAATGCCGGGGTTGTGAGTTCGAGCCTCACCTGGAGCATATTTTTTATTCATTGTTGTCCATTTTTTATTATTTTATACTTTTAAAATAAAATATTTTGGACTACATTGTTTAGTATTATTAGTTAATTATGATACTATTACTTTTATTATTTTAAATTTTAATGAACTATACCTCAGAAATAATGACATCTCCCATCAGATTAGGAAAATATACAATTACTAACGACCTGCCCTCGCTTCGCTTAGGGAACTGTAATTTATTATTGATAACAGTATTTCTCCACTATTTAATGGATGCTATTATATATAAACCTTCCGCTTCAATAAAAATCCATTACGTAGTTTTAGAGATTTAAGCATACATAGGGATATAGGGACAGAGAAAGCGACTTTGTTTTATACTATGTAGTGATAAATACGTTATTACTTTTAATTTATACTTCTAATGTAAAACAGGAGATAAAGCTGAAAAGGATCTGTCTGTGGTTTTGTTGCTAAATATGATTGTTTTCATTTGTGTTTCTATGGCGAATTACTCTATTAAGTTCGTTCAATATTACAGTCATTTACTGTAATCTACTGAAAACGACGACTGAGAAGGACAACGTACTCTTGATTATTTTATGTGCAGTCAAGCGGCTCACCTGCTGAGAAGTGGTTACCGCATCCCATGGACATAGACAATAGCAGGTCAAGTGAGCTGCCCCACCGAAACGTATGCCTACTTCGCGGCCGATAAAGGTAATATGGTAGGATTACCAGTGCGGGCTTACATTAGACCCTATCACAGATCATTACCGAATTTTATAAATTTTGCTATTTTGATTTTTGTTAGACGTTGTTATTCGTTCATCTAGGTCAGTGGTTGGCTTTCGGCGCGCACTATGCGGTACCGTGGGTTTCGTGGAGTCGGAATGGTGGAGCTTGACGGGGTTTAGTCGGTAGTCGGTTTTACGGGACGGGGCTTGAGCGGCTGACGCCGCGTAGCGCCTTTCTCAAGACGTAGTCTCCCGTTAGGAATTGGAAGAAGAGGAGGTCTTCCTCACCTCTGGAGGCGCCGGAGTCCGACATAACCCGTCCTGTTACTCCCTCGACCGGGCATTCGTAAGCGGATTCCCCAGCGTGAAAAAAAACGGCCAGAGGTCGGCAACCTTGTCAACCAAGTGCCAAATAAAGATAACACAGAATTGAATGTTATTCAAAGAGTAATTTTTTTAACATATATTATTACATATTTTTATAGCCTTGCGTTTCAAATTCTTTCCTTTTCTGTTAAAAGGCAAGGAAGTAAGTAATATTCCGTGCCTGAAGTAATCATTTCGCGGAAAGAGCCGTAATGGAGGAGATACAGAGTCGCAGGTTGCCAAGCACTGATCTAGGACTACATTCGAGAGCACGCGTGAAGCACGTATGTACATATTTCTTTAGAGTACCTAATGGTATTTTGCTGCCGGATTTGCGACTTTAGGTTAACATTATCGCACGAAGGTGCTCATGCCACGTTGAAGTCTTTCAAGATAATTACTTTATATTAGTAGGTAATAAATGTTATATTTTATATTTTCAATAAATGTTAATTCAAGTCAACTATTTATTAAGTCAAACACTGTATCGACACTTTCTTGTATATTTTATTTCACTAAGCCAAGCCAAGTTCAAATCAGAACTTGATAGGTACCTACTGCATTTTATAATCTATATTTTTAGTTTTTATAGTAAATAAATACTTACAAAATATAAACGAAATACCAGTTAAGAAGGATAATTTAGAAAATGAATACAATTGTTTGCTTTTTATTTGACATTTGAAGTTGTATTTGTAAATGTTTTTGTTTTATTTTTATTAATATCTTAATTGAAATCTTTAATATATTTGAAACTACAATATTCTAAGTATACATACAATAGTATTCTAAGTCACACTAACTTTATACATAAATAGTAATAACGAAACGAAGGACTGAAATAAAACATAGGGAATGTGAAATTTGAGAAAACAATACAATTTTATTATTTAAATATCATTCCTACACATATACATCCTCGTTAATCTTGTTCAAACGACACCAGTGTTGCCAGCATTGGGCGGCGTGGGTTGCGAGAACATAAAGGCAGGTGCGTTTTGGAATATCTGCTGCTTCATGAACTCTGTGGTCGCTGACTTGAGGCTCTCTTTCGCTCCGAATTTACACTTTATGTAACCGTAGAGATTAGCGCCTGTTAGAGTCAAGGCGATCAATACTAGTAGCTGGAAATAATGTATGAGGTATTAACTTCTATAATTCGCGGAGTGGCTTTTGTGCTATATGGGATTCTGATATGAATTATGTTTAATTGGCAGCCGGTGGGCAGTGTTGCTTACTACTACCTGCTTGGTGACATGAACGGTTGTGACCACTTCCCATCGTCCACGTGGCTACCTACTTTATGCTGCTGTCTATGGAGGTGCGTTCTTTATTCCCATTAAAGCAATATTAGACCTATACATGGAATTCTAATGTATTATAATAAAGCTTTTATATCGTGACATAAAAACTTGCAATTAAACTACGTTATCATCTAAAAATCAACCTTATCTAATCAGATTAATCTGTTTTATTGATTTTTCACATCGATAATTACGTGTATTATTTAAGTTTGTAGACTATTTGCAAGTTAAGATTACATTACATTTATCGACAAAATCAATAACTATAGCATTACAACGACTTTATGTATTTCATTTCCTCAGTGTCGTGTACTTCATTTAACATGGGTCTGTATTCGCTAGATCCAAATGTGGCTCGTGAAGCTAGCCTTAGATACAAAACCCCGTAGTCCACAACATATATTTAGTATATAGTAATGGTAGTTCCAGTACAATAATATAAGTATGTACTTCTTTCTCGCTTAACTGGTCTCAATTATTGTCTGGAGGAGATCGTTTTTGATGATAACACCTTTGTATATTTGTGGTGTAACTTTGGTCGTAAATTATGATTTACTTGGCGTGCAAGAATATTAATTCCCAATTTAGAGTTGTTTTAAGTGTTATGGATTTTTTTTTTATACTTAAGCTGATAGCCTTAAGAGGCTATGTCAGCGTAACCCTAAGATGTAGGTGAGCTCTCGGGGCTCAAACCGGAGGTATTGCTAAAACTGGCCCTAGTAAGAGCAGAATCTACCACCGGATCGTAAACGCGACCCAATGACAAGATCCGGCGAGAAACTCAGTGGGCTGTGTCTGTGGGTTAATTTACTCGCCGAGTCTTTCGTCGCAAGCAACGGGTTCGACGATCGGGTATTGTTATGGGTACCAGAGACTGACGAACATATCTACGTTTAAATGTATACAGATATAGATAATAGACACCTTGACAAAGATCAAAATAAACCTGTTCTTCAAAAGAATGTTTACCGGACGCGGGAATGAAATCCCTGATCCTCGACCCATTCACGGTCGCTAACCGTGCCAGAGTCAGTCGACTAGAGGTATCTTGTACTCTAAACTCACAATTTCAGAAAAAAAAACATTCATTTGATAACGAAATACCAATATTGGATGATTTCGTGAGTCTGTTGTCCGTGTTGTCTCTAATGGCCACGTGACTCCAACGAGGCGAACAAATTTTTATTATTAATTGACAAACGCCCATTATTCTATTTCTGTTCTGTCTGTGAGAACTGCGCCCGGCACGAACGGGGTGGGGGCAACTTACCATCCACTTGAACTTGAGTCCGAAAAGGCAGAATATAAAGAAAGTGGACCAGACCAAGGGGCACAGCGTCAGGCCCATCCAGAACAGGCGGCTCTCGTTCCTGTTGACCCGGCTCTGGAAGCGCCAACAAGTCAAGGTCAAAACCACTTTTATAATCTAAGCCCGCGTTTATTTCTGCGGACGTATCGAATACTTTTCAATATTCGTCACAGACGACCTGGGCGAGGGATTCCCGAGGACAGTCGGGAGCATACAACTGGCGAAGATACTATCTCATCTAGATGGTTTGGGATCACTCTCTTTTACATTCCTTTGAGAGCTATATTCTAGCAATTTTTTGAGTGTTCCGCTAGCTACATACTGCCGGAATCTCCTTGACCTTTCGACTGCCATGTAGGTCACTATTGCCCTACGCGGCGCACTGAAGTAATTATGTCGTCTTCTGTAACTAAGCGCCTGGATTGCCTAACATCGCTTCTCTCAGTATCTTCGAATTCGTTTTTGCCCACAGTCTACCAGACATTCCGGCGCCTTAGTAACAGAAATCGACATAATTACTTCAGTGCGCCACGTAGGGTACCGGTGACCTACACGGCAGTTAAATTAGGCACGTGCGGTGAGGATTAATAATTACAAAAAATAAAGACCTGACGGGCCTCGAACACCCAGTGCGACTTGCCGTTGTCGTCCACATAGTTCCACCACCTCAGTCCAACTAGTAACCGACCTGAAATTGAGTTTGATGTTTTTAAAATTGAATTTGAAGTAAAAAAACCAAAACCTATATTTGTACTTATTCGACCGTGTTATAAGCGTTAAGGTATAGTATCATCGTCAGACCACAGATGACGCGGGACTGATTTTAATAAATGCGCATAGTTCTTGTAATTATTATTAATAACAGTTAAGGGGATTTGAATTTGTAATTAGTTTAATAAAAATTGTCATTAGCCTAAGATTCAGATTCGATACCTAGTCATTAATTGTGTATATTATGTATGTCATACACATATAATATAGGACATAAAAAGAAAGGTATTAGTTAAAACAGCATCAGAGTTGTAAAATGTAGAGAAGTAACGTATGGTTTCACATAGTACCATTATCAGATGTATTTCTCTTGCAATGCAGTCGTGCATTCCAATTTGCCAGGTGTGATGGCAGTTATAAAATTAGATGTCATGTACCAAGTGGGTCACACACTCACAGCACTCATGTATATGAGATACTAAATTTATACCAGATGTGCTGTGAGCATGATTGCCCATGTATATTAAAATCTAAAATATATAAAATAGAACAATTTTTGTTTACCACTAATATTCTTCACAGTCCAGAAGTCTGCAGACAGCAGTAGAATGACTAATACGAAGCTTGCAATGAATGAGTCGGAGAACCACCCACACAGGATGTACACAATTATCGCAGAGCATCGGAACACCAGGTGGAAGAACACTATGTAGGGATGGCTAAACATTCAATTTATAAGTTAGACAGCAACATTGGGTTGCCAAAGTGATTACGTCAAATGATTCTCAAATTCGGTTTACATTTAGGATGATCTTAATCGGTCTCAGAATGAGCAGGCTTTGTTCATAATTCATACAGAGATATGAAATGACGTTGTTTGGCAAAATATATGTTATTGTAATTAGGTGGTAAGTCTGACTAGATACCACTTTATTTGTAATTTTACTTTATTATTAATTTATTGAATTAGTGTCTCTCAACAAACACTTAGACTGAAGTGTAAATATAGATGACTACGGTGTCTATAAGAAACTGTAGCAACCAACACCAGGCCGAACACTAGACACATCTGTTTTTTTTGTTAAAAATCAATAGACAAATGAAACTGATGGTATTTGGGTTCATAATATTAAAATTTACAAGTATTTAGCCTTAGCTTAGTTCCTTTTTTTACTCCACAGACAAGAATTGAATATGTTGGCTTATAAGATTACAACTTTATAAAATACTCACACAAACTGTTTATTAGCATTATCCTCTTCACCAAATGCGATGGTGTCATCATCAAGCAGCGGGACCTGTGGCACAGCTGGCTGTAAGTAGTGTAGTAACACAACTAAATCAGCTCAAGCCGTGCAAAGCTATTTTCATTGAATTCTATGCAGATGGATCATGCATGCAATATTTTTTTTTTATAAAAACATTTTCTTTGCAAGCTTTATAAATTCTTTAGCAGAAGACTCTTATGGATACAAAAAATCATTAAAAGATTAAATATGATAGAAGAAAAACTCATCTGGTGCTTACGCAGAATAAACTAGCACATAGCCCCTAACTATTATGGATTTATATCAGTTAACAACAGGTCATGGAGAACAGTTAATAAGGTTCCAAGCATTGAAAGGGATAATGGTTCAAATCTTAATTAGGCTGTATGAAGACACAAATGCCTAATTACTTTAAAAGCCATTATATCTATTTAAAATGCTAAGTAAGCAATTGCATACATATAACAGGTTCACTTAAAGCACTAGCCAAAATTTATTATAATTCTATAGATTACTGAAATATTACTTGTTTAGGCATTGGCTAATGATAAAATATCAACATTTTTTGTCTTAAATAATATGTAGGAATAAATTACAAAAACAAATTAAAAACTCTGATCTACTATTTTAGAAAAGATGTAAAAAAATATATATGATGCTTTTGTTACTTCTATTCTTTATCTAATCATATAACGTAATAACCTTTATTTTCAACTTACCGTTGCCGAATTCATAGCTGGATGGTTCATTAATAATCAATACTATTTATTTCACAAATTAATTTTAAATGAGTGTCAGGATAGGTCGATAGGTACTGATGAATAATTTCAACAGCAGTTAAACATATTGAATTATATAGGAATAGTAGGTAATCCTGAAAATTCGAAAGGTCACATACAATCCAAATCACTCTCAAATATTAAGTGTATTATCTATATAAATCACTGAATTAAACTTATAGCTTTAATATTACTATTCGTTTATTTAAGCAGTCATTTATTAAAACTTTATTTGTCAACAGATAATCTTTCATCCATGCATACGCAATGACAGTGATAATTATTGACATATTATTATTTGTTGACTGTTCCATTGAACAGGCAAAAGAAACATAGCTCATAGAGTCAAATCCCTGCTAAGAAATCTGAAGCCATATCTTTTTATAAGGCCTTTGTAAGTAGACGAGCAGACGCCCACTTAATGATGAATGGTTACCGTCGCTCCTAAGAGTCGCTAATTACCACTAAGTACTCTCCGTAGCCTCGTTTAATGTTATGGCGTTCGAGAAACTTCCTGGAGGGGAGTTCATTCCAAATCCGTATGGTATGTGCCAAGAAAGATTTCCGGAAACGCAATGTCGATGAACACAAATCACGTAAGTTCTCACCTCACGTTTTCCTTTAAAAGACTAATTAATTAATTATACCTCAATTAATTACTGAAATTATCCAAATTGTAAGTGCTGTTCTGTCATTGTAATGATTTTTTTTTTATTGGGCGGTACATGTCGATCTTCTTAAATTCATGGTAATAGTAGCTAGTCATCATTCTCGTCGGGTCTTCTCAGTGAGTCGCGTTTCCGATCCGGTGGTAGATTTAACGAGGTACGGCTCTCGCTAGGGTTCGTGTTAGCAAAATCATCAGGTTTGAGCCCCGTGAACTTACCTATTAGCCCTGACGCTGATATGATCTCTCTAAACCATCAGCTTTGGTAGGAAAAAAATCAAATCAATGAAATCTATTTGGTAAATGTGATTAGTTCAGTGATTATAATAATATATTAAGGTCGCTAATTATACTTAATCATCATAAAATTTAGTAAATACGATGTATATTTTTTTAATTTATTAAATTAACCTGTTAGTTTGGATAATTGCCAACTCATAATGGTAAATGTGATAAAAGTCCCAAAATTAAAAAGAAATCATTTAGTTTGCGCAATTACTTGGTTTATTTCAACACATGTTGGTCACCAAATCACAAAGAAAGGTATCGTTCATGAACCGTAGTTAAAATATTCCATTTAATCTAACCCGTTCATTCGAGTGATATATTCGATTCGATGATTCGATTCGCGCAAATAGAAACAAATATTTTTTTTCCCAAATTGCATTTTACCCCCGAAATGCGATTACTATGGTTGTGGTTTTAAATGCTTGTAGATCAGTCTGCATCAGCTCAAGCGTTACGCTATTTTAGCGCCCCGATCGTTTTCCAATCCGTGAACGTAGCCGAGCGAGTGCGATATCGTGCTCTTAATAAAAAGCAGTTTTAAACATATTATTATGTGTCTAATTTTGTGTGGCCTTTTCACTATATATCTGTATATGAGGTCTAGTTCTCAGTTATATAGTAAAATGGCTATGCCACATCCTTCCAACTACACTAGCAATTTACTAGATTTTCAGAATTCCACTTTTGTTTTATTCCCTTCATAGGTGAACGAATTCATTTAGTGTTACGGGAATACCGTAATCCGTAGATACCGCAGAGTGAAAACGCGCGGTCGAAGTTTTATTTTTGTAATATTTCGCCTGGACTACCGTTCAAATTGAAACACATGATCTGCAGCAGATATGAGAACTAGTGGTACGCGTATGGGTGCCAAATTATCATTGTTATTCAAATATTCTGGATACAGAATTATCTAATTAGTTGTAACCTGAGAACTTTTAATTAATGTTGTCTAAAAAGACTGTATTCCAGAGTGTTGTTTAGGCGCAAGCTCGTCTCATATGTCTTAAGACAATCTGTCAAAATTTTGCAGAAGTGTAGAGCCTGTTTACAATCTTGCGACGTTTCTGCAAAGAGTAAAGTGATATCGTTTTGTCGTAGGTATTTCAAGTGCTAATTTAATTAATCGCGCAATTGTTTCCGTGCTTCGTACGATGCGTTCGGCCGGTGCGTCGGCCGAATCGCGCGAGTTCTCGTGATCTTCAGTTTCAGTGCATGACATATTCGAGATTTGCGTAACGGAGTCGTTATGGGTGCAAAGGCGAGCACTGCGAACGGGGGGCAGAGTCCTCGCGCAAGGACATTCTCGACTAGCTCCGGGTCGGACGTGGTGTCGGGCGCGGCAGGCTTTAGCTTGTTGCGAGCCATCCCAGGGATTCAAGTGTCGAATGACCGGCAGCGCGCTCGGTCTCTGTCTTCAGTGCCGGACCTGCACGCTTCTCACGAAGCAATAGCCATACCCCCGAACTCGCAGAGCTATGAGGCTTCTGCAGCTGCGAGCCCCGACACAGATTCTAGTTCAAATGAGGAAACTGGTGCCGGACCGGCGGCGTCGCTGGCTCTGGGCCGTGTTTACGCAGCGCACTCCTTGCCTTCACATATTTGGTCAATAAATGGTGAGTTTTTATTTTTATTTGTGCCAAAACATGCTTGATGAATGTATGTAAACAAAGACAGGGTGAGTTGTTTGTTTTGTTTTGAAACATGATGTTGGTTTTATAATTAACTGTGATAGTTACATAATTATCTTTTCATCATAGTGGCAAGGTTTGTTGATTTGTTAATTAAATTTCCTTCAAAGTATTTGATTGAGATTTGATAACAATAATAGCTATGATAATAAAGAAAATTTAGAAATTGTACAGAATGCAGTAATTTAGTAATGGTATCAAATCCTGTAAATCATTGTTACAAATTATTACAATTGCATCAAGAGATACTAATGAACAAATCATCATGGGCTTAAGAATAACTAAAAACATAATTTAATTTTCTAGTTACATATGGATAGAATACAGGTTAATGGCAATGCTGGTGTTCAAATGCCACTGACAGATTTTTCATACACGAAACAAACATGGAAATCAAATTGACTAATGTTCACCAATGACTGTCACAATGAAGATATAACACAGTATAACAAAACCACACTGTGAATTTTTTGAATTTGATTCATTTCTGACAGTAGGATATATTGTAAGATATCCTGACTATTTCAGCTGTAAACCAATTATGAGTTCTGGTTTGGAAGGTGGGACGGTCATTTTACAATTGAAACTTCAACTTGTTTCAAGATAGTGGCATTCAAATCATATTACAGAGGAACTGTAACAACCACTTACTACCAGGGAGACCGCGAGTTTGTCTGTCCATTAACACATTATGGGAATATAATTTGCTATTCTGCTTCTACTTTTTGTCACCTACTATCAGTAAAATGAATCTGACTCTTATTACCTGTGTTACCAATATATATTCTTTCATTAATACAGGTTTTAAAAGCTTAGTAGCAGCTGCACATGTCTGTGACCATGTCAATAATAACATGTGTGATTAAATCTTAAACAGCTGTTAATAATTTATAATTAGTTTGATGAATCTGTATTTCACATATTTATTGTTTCCACTCTTTCAAACCACTAACATTTAATGGAATCAATTAAACAAAATGTACAATAAATGAAATTGATCAGCCCTAAATTAAAACTTTAATTAAATAAATCAGACACATCTGTTTACTGGGAAGTTTGGTTTGAAATTTTTCAAATTAAAGAAAAAGAAGAAAAAAAATTCTCATATTGTATACTGCCATACCATTTATAAATCTCAAGTGTTACACTCATTGCTGGAACTATAAGCTTACACTAACTGTTGCTGGTGCAATGTAAAATACTAAATTATCTGTAAAGTTTGTGCTCATTTTAGTAGACGATCTAAGCATACTTGTAAATATTTACTGTTTTGCATATTGAAGGTGATGTCGTACTTATATCTGTTGTGTAGTAGTCGTATGCTCTAGTATTAAGGGTAGGCCGTTATTTCAATACAATGCAGATCAATTGGAAATTTACTGTATCAAAGTAAACCTGTTGCTATCCTGCTATTCGGGAGTCAAACAACCAAGCATTGCAGTGAAAAGAAAAAAGAAAAATAGGTATTTCAGATCGCTCACATATCTCTGGCGATTGCTACAATTTTCTAGTTATAATATTACACTGAATTTTTATTTTGTTCATTACCATTTAATGCTTTTCATATTTGCAATTTTCAACTTTGACAACTGAACAATAAAGACGAGATTAAACCCTTAAAGTGTTTTAAATTGATTTAATAACGGACACTTACGACTACGTTTATCAGTTTCCTCAAAACGTTACATACAAGCATGCTAAAGATCACGAGTGCTCACGGTTGGCACGTGAACATGATTGACATAATCGCACGGGTGACGGTATCGTGTTGTGGCTCGCTTTGTATCTTCGCCATCGCTTCGTAAGATAGAATGTTGATCGGCCCACGTCACCCGATCCGACCGTTGTCCCAACATCGCGTCTCCCGTCTACCGATCGGCTCTATAATAAATCTCGAAAGATTTTTTCCGGGTTGTCCGCGTCGCCTACGCAGACCCAGATTTCAGTTGCGCCTCGTTCGTTCGGTTACACAAACGCGTCTCGCTATGTATCGTCGCCGCTATCGCACCACCCTGGGCCTGGGACTCGGCTCCTCTTTGTCTTCCACGTTTTCCACCACTTTGTCGATTAGGACGACCACGACGACGAGGTCAGTGGACAGTGTAAGATCTGACGCTCGTGCTACGGCAGCCAAACTGAAATCTAAGTATGAAAATGCCGGTACAGCTCAAGGTAGGATGTTCTTCAATTTATTTATTTATTGAAACTTAGCAAATAAGTACGGTTTACAAAGGATCTATTTCAGGTATAGTTTTAATTCAGATAGTGTGCGCTAAAAATATTCCAGAGTAAAAATCAAAATATTACGAAAGGTGTTTCTTAGTGATCTTTCATGAAGCCGTGTACTAAGTTTTAATTCTGTACTTCTGAGGGATTATTTTTGTTCGTAAAGACATTTTTAAATTTAAGAAAAATCGATTTACTAACGTTATTAATAATCTTTCGAACATTACGCTCCAGCCATATGATAGTGTTCCAGTTTATTAATGACACACAGACTTACTTATTTTTGTATGCGATTCGAACTTGCACGCAATATTATTATTATTATTATATAATAAATATTAATTTCTTAGCTTTCAATGATGAGAACGGTGTTTAGTAATAATTTTAGTTGTAATTATTCATTTAATTCTCTTTAAAATTGTTTAATGTTTTGTATATACTAGAGGTCCCGCAGTAGTCGAAATTCGACTATAATTAATTGGAATTGTAAGTTTGTACACTATTAGGATTTTATTTTATACTTCTATAATCACAAATTTCGCCAAGACTACACTATAAAAAATATTAACAAAGAGAAACAATATTTAATCTATTCTCAATTTGACAACAGACGTCAAGAACAAAAGTTTGACACTAAATAGTATGCATGCGTGTGTGCGTCAAATACATGGTCTGTAGTGTGTGTAATGTTTTCTTTATTGATTTAATGTATATTTTATGCATTATTTAAAAAAAATATTAGCATTGTGCACTTCTTCTCTATATTCTCTATAAGTGTGGAAAATTTCATACTCCTCCGTCCGCGCAATTTTCGTATAAAGGGATACAAAGTTTCTGCTTCACGTATTAATATATAGATTATATTACAAATTATTTATATTTTTGTGTGGTTTTAGTTTTTAAAATCTAATGTGTGTATGTTATAGATTCCTATTGCATTGTTTTAGATTTGAATTTCTATAGTATTGTCGTCAACGGTACTTTATAGGTTTGTTGAGGTAAGCAAATAATATTGTCTCATTAATTTTCTTAGATTGAAGCATACTAGTATACGGCTAATAATTGAAATACGAACATAATCACTGGATCTAGTGACATCTAAAGTTTTATATTCACATTTTTTGTCTATTACATTACACTAAAATTAAATATGGTGGTTAAGTTTTCTTAAATTGTACTAATTTTCCGCACAATCTTCTTTTTTTTTTTTATAAGAACCTTTTCCTGACAATAACAGACACAACAAAAGAATTATCCAATTTTTTGCCGGCGTTCTGAAATTATGCGCGTAATACATTACGCAGTTTAATTTTTATATATGATGTAGATTATCGCCTTTGTTTTTTATTGACAGAGGTGAGTAAATGGTTGTTTCCAAATAGTTTAATTGATAAGAAACATTAAATACAAAACAAAAACGATAATCGGTTAATAAGCAGCGCAGGAAAACAATTTCGTATTTTTTTCCATAAATAAATTTGTGTCCAAGTTTTTTTTTAATAATTACGCTAATAGGGTCGCCAATAGCTACTAAAGCAAACAATAAGCAAATTTGTTGGCAAACATAAGAAAATGATGCTTAACAGATTTCTCTTTGTCTCCTAATATATAACACCTTTATGTCTCTATATACATGTCGCGTATTCAAGTAGTTGTCTATGGGATTCACTGACCAGTTAAGATGAAATGAAACAGCTATCGAGAGAAATTTTCCATGAACTTACACTTTGGTACGCAGCGGCTTGGCTCTTCCCGTGGCATTGCTGAAGTTCATAGGCAACGGTAACAACTCACCACCAGGTGGACCGTATGCTCGTAAGCCAAGAAGGGCAATGAAAAAACAAAAACAAACCGCTGACTTTAAAGATACTATTTTCTGCCTGTCATGCTTCGAATTAATGATCCACTCGATTAATTTCGATTTATATTGTTCGCTTGTTTATTTCACACCTACTCAGCTAATTTCAAATCACACAGCTGTGTAGTTTCAGTTATCGTAAGCTCTAACTATGTTTAGAGTTGAACACTTTCGCCTCGATATGCGAAAACAGGAAAATAATTCGGTGTATCCGTGTTATTTAGACATTTAAAGTAGGTCTTTTCAAGACGGTTGAGTCTTTAACTTGAAATACATATAGCTAGCTAGCGTTAACATTAATAGTAGGTATATTGTCATTACGGAATATGTATCTTGGTAATCGCTTAAAAATATAAACGACTAGCCATACTTGCCCGCTTCGCTGGGGTTTTAAAATTAACATTATTATTTATTGTCATTATTATTAGGGAGTCCAACACTCATATAAATATTAGCCTATCCATTAAGTACATGTATTTTTTATATGGTTACCAAGTTTCAAGTCAATCGGATGCATGGTTCAGTAATGGTCATGGTTCATAACGGAACATCCGTAAAAACCACTGTAGATTTATGTATTAGTATAGATAAAACACCACTATTACATCGAAATAGAAACGTTTCTATACTCTAGATTTTTTTACGTGTTTTGCATAGATCGATAATGACCTAAGTGATGATAATGGTTACTATGGGCCCATAGACCGCAACACGATTATCGCCGAAATTGTATTGTAATAACAGCATCAAAGCTACGTGATCCACAAGCGAGATGTTAGTACCTAACAGCGCACCCACCCACCGCATGCCTTGCCATCAAACAAAATGAATATTTTAAATGCCAGATTGCTACTTCGTGGAATCTGTTCGTAAATGGGA